TTTGGCGCTGCTGAGACTGTACTTGCTGTGTCAGCCACCGTGGCAGGCATGCCCTGACCTGATGCTTTGGTTGCTGGCTCACCTCTTCTCATTCTGCTTTGCTCTTGTTTTTCTGTAAGTCTTTGCACGAAGCATTGTCCTCACAGCTGAGCCTGTGGCCCAGGACCACCATAGCCCCACCCCGACTCCTCCAAAGGGCCTCCCCTGTCAGGCATATGACTGACTATGCATCATCTCCCCTCTCTCTCCTCTCTGCCCCAGATCAGTGGACCATCCCCTGCCCGGATCCTCTCTCTCCACAGACTTTGGCAGCTGGCAGATGGTAACAGGCTGTGGCAGTATTCAGGAACGGGCTGTCCTGCACACAGACTCCTCTCTCCCTTTCAGCTTCCCGGATGAGCTCCCTAACAGTTGTCTGTAAGTGTCTTGCTTGAGGAGGCAGGATGCTCCCCTGCCCATATCAGAAGCTGGTGAGCCATCAGGAGTGTTGGTTGAGTGAGGCAGCAGCTGGCCCGGGATCCCTGCCCCTCCTCAGTGTCAGCTAAGTATACCTCACTGCTCCTGGACTCCTGAGGTATGGAAGAGGCTTTCTGGGCTGCTCAGGAAGTGTGTTGCGGTGTGTGCTCACTCTCTTGAGCCTCCGAAACTCGTCCACAGGTGCCTCGGGGCACACCCTGAGGGAAAGCTGTCTGGACTGTAACTATAGAAGGTTCTATTTCTGTCCAAGGCTTTGCCTGACATGAGAATCCTTTGAAATCAGAACAGTGGGGTAGTGAAGGTAGGTGTATGGTGGAGACCACAGCCAGAATGGAGCTAGGTCAACTCAAGGGATGTGCTCCTCCAAGCAGAACCAAGGGTTCCTTGCCATCCCCTTCCTCCTCTTGTCTTCTGCTTTTACCTCCAGTCAGGTAAGAAAATTGGATGGGGATACCAAGTCCCAAGGCTGTAAAATCCTCCCCCTTTGAGGCTCCAGCACTGGGCTTTCAAGTCTTACAGTGTGTCCGCTTGAGTGGCTGCCTCTGTGGCGCCCCCCTGCCCGCTTTACTGCTTCATGGGTGTCAGGCCAGGTAGAGCCTCTGGTGGCCTGGGGAACAAGGCCTCTCCTCCCCACGACGGGCTGAATGAACTTCAGGTGCCGGGCATTCATTGTCCCCACCAGAATCTGGCTCATACCCACCAGAGCTGACAGGTCAGAGGCGAGTTGCCCTGGGGTGTTAAGAAGGATCCCTGCTGAGGGCAGGCAGAGGCCGGACCTTGGGATTCCAGGATGGAATAGGCCCAAGAGCCATCTCTGGAGGAAGCAGACATCTCTGCCCCTGCTTGATGGCACCCCTCACGTAACTGGCATTAACCACTGAAACGGGCAGCTCTCTGAGCTCCTAGCAAACCCCCACCATCTGGGTGGTTCCCAGAAGAAAGCTAGGTTCTATGTGATCTCATGGCCTCCAAAATTGCAGTGTAGGGATGGGGTCAGGGTTGATTCCTGCTGAGGTCATACAGTATGTCGATTTAGTGCTTGGGCTTTGTTATCAGAGAAATTTAGTCAAAACTCCTGGCTGCTGTGCCTTACCAGCTATGTCTTGGGGTGTCAGCCCTTACTTCTCTGAGCCTGCTGGCTCATCTCTTGAGAGAGAATGGCACTAGAGTATCTCTGCCTGCCTACCCCTTACCTGCTGTGTGTCCTCAAGTGAATCACCTATCCTCTCTGGGCTTCAGTTTTCTTATCTCTAAGTAGGCTGATCCCTCCCTCTTCTGCCTCCCAGAAATAAGGGGCAGTGAGAATGCACACGTATGGACCTTTGGATATTCCCTGTGAATACAAACTACTAATCTGAATTATATGATATGCCCTAAGGAAAAGCTGAAGAAGAACACATGGCCTACAGCCTATGTGAAACCTAATTAGAGTGTAAAGAAGAACTAGGGCCACATGTCTCCCCCAAATGCCAAGACAGACTTTGGAGTTCTTCACGGTATTGCAGGAATCCAGTATCAGCTCCGTTTTCCTAGTGTTGCTGCAAGAGCTACTTGACTTTCCCTCACCCTAGGACCTGCTGCTTCTCTCTCTCTCCCACAGTAGTCACCCACTCATACCTACCACTCCCACCAGTCTACTTTCCTTCAGTCTGTTCTCCCCATACCTACCCCAGGACTGCCATTTATCCTCATACCTCCATCTGTTTCCCCCAGGCCCTGGGGTACAAGTCATTTGGGCTTGGGAATTGGAGACAGTGCTGCTACTTCTGACAGATTCCCTGGAGGGATTACACAGGGATTGGTCTCTTGGGGGGACATTTTGGTGTCAGTGGTCAGGGCTAGTCTTGATTTTTAGGTGGATGGGAACATGAGGGTTCGTGTCATGTAGGTCTGTGGCCCCTGGAGAAAGCCCTCCAGGGGACAGTTAGGGTGAATACCATGTGAGTTCCTGACCTTTCTTTCCTCTGATTCCATGTCCCTCTCACCCCTAGACTGCATACCTTTTAGTTCATAGGTTGGGTGTGGCTGGTACCTCAGGTCTTCTCTTCTCTTCTATTAAAGACCTTTCAAAGTGTCAAATAGCCTCATGGAATTCATTCTTTGATAAGCCTGAGTTTTCATGCACTTGTTCCCCTTCAGGGGTTTTTGTTTGTTTTTTTTACTTGTTCCCCTTCTTGACTTGTATTTGCAGGTTAAGGAGAGAAGAGGGGCTTCCCGTCTTCTGTGATCAGTGTCTGCAGAGGCCAGGGAAGGAACAGCAAATAAAATCAGAACAGGAATCCTGCTAGAAAAGCCAGCACCCTGCTAGCTATTTCCCTAGGGACCACAGTTGACCAAAGATGTAGCTGAAGCCTCAGGGGTTTCCGGTTGAGGACCCTGGCCTCTCCAGGACACTGCCAAGAACTTTCTCCCCGAATGCTCCAGGTCCTGGCCACAAGAAGGCTAAGCCTTTGGTCAGCCAAGGCTTGATGCCTCATCTTGTGGTCTCTCCTTAAGTCTCAGATTGGTGCCTCATATTATTCTCACTGAGGAATGGCAGCCAACAGTTGGCAAACTCCCTCCTGCTCACCTTCCCCCCAACTTCCCCAGTGTACCATTAAAACATGCTGGTTCTAGGTTCTCAGTAGCCTGAGAGCTGAGAGGAAAGATTATGGAGGGGAACAAGGCCAAATGTTTAGGGCCTGAACTGCAGGGGTAGTATGGCCACAGGACATGTGCTGGCCTGTGCTAGCAAAGGCAGAAGGATAGGTAGTATGGTGTGAGGATAAGGATGTTGGATCCTGCCCAGGGTAATGCATTCATTCTCCCTCCTTCCCTCCCTGCCCACAGGCTTGCAGCCCTGAGCGAACGGGAGACTCGGCTGCAGGAAGTACGGTCAGCTTTCTTGGCCGCGTACAGCAGCACGGTGGGGCTTCGAGCAGCAGCCCCCAGTCCCTCTGGTGCCATCGGAGGCCTGCTCGAGCAGTTTGTCCGTGGTGTTGGACTCCGGGGCACCAGCAGCAGCACCTTATGAAGTAGCCAGCTCCCAACAATTTCCTGTTCTCTCACCTGAGCCCTGAGCAGAATGAAAGCCATGCCCGGACAAGGGGTGCTTCAAGATAGGAGAGACATCTTCTCCCTCCTCTTCCTCCTCCATCATGCACATGGCAGCCCCAGAGCTGAGCAGGGCTAAGGACAGGGTTCTCCAACCCCCAGCTTCCTGACTGGTGACCACCATCCCTCTTGTCACTGCCTTTCCACCCACCCAAGTCTTGGTTGGGATTCCCATCAACTCTCAGAACTGTGTGTGGTTTCCCTGAGGCCTTGTGGAGGCTGAGACCTCACAAAAGACTCCCCTTTTCCTGTTCTTGTTTCCTGGAGAGGAGGGATCACCTGCACTGAGAATGAGGCAGTTTGACAGATCACAAAATTAAAAATCTTTTTGAACAACTCTCTTGCATCCTCATTTGGTTGCTGTCTTTGTGGAGTTATTTGGAGTTATCTGTTCTTCCTTGTGCTGGAAGGGGTTGGGGTGGGGGTCAGATAAAGCAGAAAGACAACTGAAGACTCGGTTGTGCCTCTTAACTCCTGAGCCATGACAGTCTCAGTGAGATGGGGACAAGTAGTCACAGGTTGTCAAGGTGGGAGCAGTGGTCCTCAGGCGTCAATGGGCCCTAGTCACCTAGGAACTCACACGGATTCCCAGGGCTGCCTGAAATTGAGACTTAGGGTTGCTGAGATGGTCATTTAGCTGGAATGGGCGGAGGTGTGTGTGGGAGGGGATCCTTAATTTTTAACAAGTTCTGCAGGGAGCACAGTCCTGGTACAGGTGACTCATGGCCCCTACCTTACGAAGCCCTGACTTTGGTGGAGGGACTGGCTTCTGGGGCTTTGGAGGCAGTAATTGGTGTGGGGAGAATGGACCTGGCTGACTACCACCTTCATCTGCACTGTGACCTAGATAGATTGCATCTTCACAGTATGTCTTCTGCATCTGTAACATCATGAAGTCAAGAGTTCAAAGACTTGGGCAAAGGGCTTTCAGAGTGCTATCAAGCTGCCATTTACTGAGTTCTGGCTCAACACAAAAGAGGTCACCCATGTGACTGCCCAGAGGAAGGAAATAATGGTGAACATTTCTTTAGTACTTACTGTGTATAATCCCCTGAGCTAAGTCCTTTATGTGGATTATCTCAAAATTTTACAACACCCCAAGTAGGTGCTATTCCGGCCTTTCACTGATAAGACTGAGGCACAGAGATGTTGAGTAACTTGCCCAAGGTCACACAGCTAATAAGCATAAATGTAAAACTCCTATTTGGAAGACCTAGGCAGGGCGGAAGTGGGAAGGGGAAGCAGACTGTTCAGGGAGCAGCTCAGGAAGAGGAAGCGTCCCCAACGCCCACCAGGTGCCCCAAACCCTTCAGTACCGCGGACAGTTCTCAGAAGGGTTTTTTTTGTTTTTTTTTTTTTGGATTTCGTCTGGGTGAAATGCGCAGGGAGGACTCTCCCACGGTCTGGGCTGGATTTGGGGTCGGGGTTAGGTTCCCGGCCGGCTCGAGGCTGCTCCAATGGGGCGGGGGCCGCCCGCAGGGCCGGGCGGGGCTAGGTTACCATCTGGAGTCGCTGCCGCCGGCGGCCACAGTCAAGGAGCGATCGCGGGAGTGCAAGCAGGGCTGGAGGGAGTGCAGCCGCCGCCGCCGCCGCTACAGCGGCGGCACATGGACCAGCCCCGCCGCTGCCGCCGCCCCTAGCGCCGGCGGCCCCCGTCTCACAGCCTCCCGCAGCTCCGGCCACTCGACCAGCCATGTCTCTCAGCGGAGCCTCTGAGCGCAGCGTCCCGGCCACCAAGATTGAAATTACCGTGTCCTGCCGGTGAGCCGCCGCGCTGGGGAGGGCGTAGGCACTGCCCCTGCCCCAATCGGCTGTGGGGCTTGGAGCGGACAGGGGCCAGACCCCCGGGGGAAAGAAGCATCCAGGGCCGGAAAATCTCAGATTCAGACTTAGGAGAGTCTCTGGCGGGTTCGGGGAGGGGGTTTCTTTGAACAGCTCCACCCACAAATAAAAGCTCAGCCTGCGGGTTCAAGGAGCGGGTCATGGGGATCCAGTAGGATCTGGGCCTCAGGAGGACAAAGTTCTGGGGCTAACCCTCTTTCCTGGGCCCTTGAAGACAGGGTGGACGCATAGATAATGATTCTTGAGCTGATATTTCCGGTGCTGTCCAGGGTGCTGACAACGTGCCCCCCCCCCCCCCCCAACCCCAACAACTCTCCACTGGGTATAGTAATGAGGCAAGGAGATGCGATTTGAGCCCCATGCCTCCCCCGGGTGCCCAACTCAGGGCAGAGTCGAGGCACTGGGCTCCAGAATGACCCACCCTCTGTCCATCTGTCTGTCGCTTTCTCTAGGAACCTGCTGGACCTCGACACCTTCTCCAAGTCCGACCCCAGTAGGAGGCGCCAGGGACGGGAGGGGGAACTAGGGTCCGAGCGTGACTGAGGGGTGGGGAGAGGTTCAGGGCAATCTTACATCCTTCCTTCCCCGCCTCCACTTTCGCCTGCAGTGGTGGTGCTTTACACGCAGAGCCGGGCCAGCCAGGAGTGGCGAGAGGTGAGTCCAAGAGCCCTCTCCCAGCCAAGAGCTGCCCCCCCCCACAACTCCCACCCCCCGTGAATCACCTCCCCCCCCCCCCACCCCGACCGCCCCGTGCTAACTCTCCGCCCCCTATCCAGTTCGGACGGACAGAGGTGATTGACAACACGCTGAACCCAGACTTTGTGCGCAAATTCGTCCTGGACTACTTCTTTGAGGAAAAGCAAAACCTGCGCTTTGATGTGTGAGCCCCGCCCAGAATCCTGGGTTGGATCCCCCCCCGCCCCCGCCCCCCGACCTGGATCCACACAAAATTCTGGCTCGCTCCTCCCCAGCCCGGCCTCCCAGCCTGGCTCCTCCACCAGGCTGTTTGGTCCCATTCTGAAGGCCTCCACTCTAGTCTTAGCTCTGTCCCCAAGTCTAGCTTGGCCCTGTCTTTAGGTCAGATCCAATCCAGTTCACTCCCCAGACCTAGCTGGGCCCAAAGCTTTGCACTCTAATTTAGCTCAGGCTCCATCAAGGTCCCCGCCCTGGTATGACCCCACCCCCAGCAGGCCCCAGACTTGACCTCATCCCTGACTTTCTGTGACCCTGACTCCTGCCCTAAAGGAGATCCTGACTGAATTTGGATCCAAGGCCGCCCCTCATTCTACCTACAATCTTAACCAGTATTCAAAACACGACCCCTTTTCCAGGCTGTCTTTCACCAGCCCCACCTTATGCTGGTTCCACTCTCTTCCCAGATACAACATTGACTCCAAAACCAACATCTCCAAACCGGTGAGCGAGCGTCCCCTCGCAGGCTGGCCAGGCACACAGGAGGCGCTCAGTGTGTTAAACAACCTTCCTTAGAACCCTCCTACCCCTCAACCCCAACTCCACCTTCTTGGGCCCCAAACCCACCCTCCTGGCCCTCCTCTCATGCTCCTGCCTCTTGGTTTCCCACCCATGCCTTTTACTCACTGTTCCTCTTCCTTCTCGGCCACCTGTGGGACACACAGAAGGTGAGGCTGAACGGGGCTGGCTTTGGGATGGTGGGGTGTGGAATGGAAGGTGAGGTGTGGGATGGCATTGTGGAGAGCAGCTTAAACTGACAGCAGGACCAAGAAGCAGAATTGGCCTGGGGACTCCTTCCCCCTGCTTTAAAGCACAGGCAGGGCGATGCTTCTAGCATTCTGCCATCCTGGAACACACTGGTCTGTGCAGCAGTATCACCAGGGCTAGGCTGGGACTCTGCATCCCCAGCCTTCTTGACTCCTGGTCTTCTTGACTCCATGTCCTGGTGCAGGATTTCCTGGGACAAGCGTTCCTGGCCCTGGGAGAGGTGATCGGAGGCCAGGGCAGCCGTGTAGAGCGACCCCTCATGTGAGCTGAACAAGAAGGGATGCTGGGGAAGGGTGGGTGGCCCCAAATTTTCCTCCCAAGGACACTGCTGACCCAATAGCTGTGAAGGCTGGGACTCCCCTGGTTGGGAGACTTCAATGGCTCCCATAATCTTCCTGGGAAAGACCAATATCCAGGGCTCCGTTCAAGTCAGTCTTAGGCCTGATATGTCTTGTCTTGTCCTCTCTCTCTCCGTCTCTGTCTCTACCTGTCTGTCTCTGTCTCTCTCACCTCACTCTTTTTCTAAGTCTGATTCTACCCTTAAGGTCCACTTCCAAGCTTTTTTCCTCCGAGAAGCTTCCCCTCACTAAATCAAGACCCCTGGAATTTCCACTGTATTTACTCACTAAATATTTATTAGAATGTTTTGCATGCCATACCCTGTGCTAGGCACCAGGGACTCATCCATTCCATAAATACTATTGGGCATATACTCTATGTCGGCCACTGTTCAAGGGGCTTGGGTTGTAATGGTGAACATAACAAAGGTTCCTGCCCTTGGGGAGCTTATACTATAGAAGGTGGGGGAGAAACTACAAAATAGACATAACAAATAAGTAAATTGTATAATATATTGGAAGACATTAAGTGCTATGGGAAAAAGGCAAAGTAGAGCAGAATTAGGAGGATTGGAAATGCTGGGTGGGTGGGACTTGCAATACTCTACAGAGTGGCTAAGTAGGTTTTATGGAGAGGTAACTTTAGAGCAAAGACCTGTAGGAAGTAAGGAAGTGAGCCATGCAGGTATCTGGATGTGGGATGTTCCACGCAGAGGAAGCTGGCCAGTGCAAAAGCCTGATATGTTCACAGAGCAGCAAGGAGGCCAGTGTGGCTATAGCCAAGTGAGCAAGGAGGAAGAAAGGAGGAGACGAGATTGGAGAACAGTTTAGGGCCTTGTAGCTACTATAAAGACTAGCTTTTACTCTGAGTTGGGAGTCACTGGAAGGCTCTGAAGAGAGGAGTGACATGATCTGACCATGTTTTCAAAGAATAATGCTGGCTTCTGGATTGAGAATAAACCTTGGGTAGATGAAGATAGTAGCAGGGATCCCATTGGGAGGCTATTACAGTAATCCAGGGTGGCAGCAGTGAAGGAAAGAAATGGTCAGATCTGGATATAACTTGAAAGTATAGCCAACAGATTCCTGACAGGTTGAATATGGATGTGAGAGGAGAAGAGGAGTCAAGGATGACATCAAACCCTTTGGCCTGAACACCTGGAAGGATGGAGTTGCCATAAATAAGATGGTTAAAAAAAAAAGTGAGGGAGAAGTACATTGCAGGGGGATTTGATCAGGAGTTCATTCTGACTCCTGTTGAATTTGATAATTTTTATTAGACACCCTAGCAGATATGTCAAATAGGCAATAAGATCCATGAGTTGTAGATGCTCTTTCAGACCAGAAGACTAGATGAAATCACCAAAGGGGTGGGCAGAGAAAGAAAAGACCAAACACCAAGACTCCATGAATTGGAACTAGAAAAGGAGACTGAGAAGGAGCATTAATGAAGTAGAAGGAGGACCAAGAGAAGGGGTGTTGTCCTGGAGGCAAAGTGAAGTTTGTGTATTGAGGAGAGAGTGACCAGCTATGTCAAATGCTGCTGCATGTCTGAAGTTCTGAAGGAAGAGGTGGGGGTAACAGCCTGGTTGGAGAGGTTTAGAAGAGAATGGAAGAGAGGAATGAAAGTCAAGAAATCTTCCAAGGGGTTTTGTTGCAAAGAGAAGAGAAAAGGAGGGTTAGGAAAAGGAAGTGAGGTCAGAATAGGTTTGCATTTTTTAACATGAGAAAAATTATACCACATTTGTATGTTAAGGGGAATGACCGAGTAGAAACTGAAAAATTGACATAATAAAGAAAAAAGGAGAGAATTGCTGGAATGATGTCCATGTATAGGCAAGAGGGTGTGGAATGTAGCACACAGTGGAGGGATAAATAGGCACACGGATAGTCATTTATAGCAACAGTTGCGTGGGTGAAGATACTGGAGGCAAGGTAGGTGTGGTGGTAGGTCTGTGGACATTCTCTTCTGGTTGCTTCAGTTTTGTCAGTGAAGTAGGAAACAAGGTCATTGGCTGAGGATGGGGGAGGAGGCTTTCCAGGTTTGAGAAGAGAGGAGGAGTGAAACTGCCATCTAGCCGAACTGGAGAGTGAAGTATGATTAAGGACCCTCTTGAGGTTTGTGGTCATGCAGTTAAAATGAGACCAGTTAGGGGCACCTGGCTGGCTCAGTCAGTAGAGCATGTGACTCTTGATCTCGGGGTCATGAGTTTGAGCCCCATGTTGAGTGTAGCGATGACTTAAATAAATAAGATGTAAAGAAAAAAAAAAGTGAGGCCACTTAACAAGATTGTGTGTTTTCCTCTGGCCTCATTCAGTTGCACAGGTGCAGTACAGGCTAGGCAGAGAATGGGATTTAACTAGGGCTGTGGTTCTGCCAAATAAGTGTACTGAAGTGACAGAAAGGCAATGGATAAGAGGTAGGATGCAAGGGAGCGATTATTATAATCATTGACTGGAATTCACACTGGGTAAGGAGGTGAGGGAAAACATTAAGGGGGCAAAGAACAGAGAGAAAGCAGTAAGATCAGAGACTTGGTCCTCCTGGGTGTGCAGGTGAAGAGTCCCTATACTCCTTACACTCTTTTTAAAGCACAGTCAAAAATTGAAAGAGCCAAAGAAATGGTTCAACATTCATGTCAAAGATGGGAAAAATCACATAATAAATTGGAGCCAGGACTTGAACCCAGAACACTTCTGACCTAGCTTTCTCTCTGCCACACTTGGGATCCCTTTGGGGTCAGGGTTCACAGGCCCATATCAGCAAGGTCCCTGACCACTTGGAGACCCAAGGCAAGACAATTTGGGGATGGGTGTCCTAATATGTACCCTTCAAATACATGGAAGTGTCCCTTCTTGGGTCAGGAGAGGATAAAGCTTCCCTTGTCTTTTTTATTTCACTCTTCACATTTTATTTCACTCTTCAAAAGCACAGTATCTTTGATCTAACAAAACAGCCTTTTGCCCTGGGTCTGGATAGAAAATCCTCTCCCTCATTCAGGACTGCTACATCACATTCTACTTGCCTATTGGCTTTGACATCCCACCTCCCTCTGGAAGCTCACCGAGGGTACAGAACTGGAAAGTGCCAACTGGCCAATTCATACCTAGCACAGTGCCTGACATATAGTAGATACCAAGGTCTGCTTTGACAAATTTAACCACCTTCATATCAATAAAGCTTCCCAATTGCTTGTCCTTCCATGCACTCATTCAGATCTTTTCACAACCCTGACAGGTAGGCATGATTCCCATTTCATAGTAGAGGAAACTAGGACCCCCAAAAGAGGAAATAACTTACTCAGGACTTTAAATCCTATGTCTTTCCCATGCTACCATTATAACACGTCCACCTAGGCCAGATTAGCCCCTTCCTTTCAGACTACAGACCCCTTCCCTATCAAAGTCAGGCCCTTCCCCACAAGGAACCACACAGGGCAGAAAGGGATACATTTAGGGGACTGTCAGGAAATGGCATATTGAATCCCCTGGCCCACCTAATCCCAGATTAGCTACCCCATTCTTCATTGCCTACTCTCACTCCCCTGACAAAGAGGCTTTTTCTGCTTCCAGGGGTGTACCAGGCAAGAAGTGTGGGACCATACTGCTGACTGCAGAGGAGCTTAGCAATTGTCGGGTCAGTAAGGGCCATATACTAGACCCACAAGGCTCCCTTCTCTCCTAAACTCCCTTTAGTGGACTGTTTGAGGCTATGAACAATTTGGGTGTCAACAGCCAAATTTCATCCCTAGGACATTGCCACCATGCAACTTTGTGCAAACAAGCTGGACAAGAAGGATTTCTTTGGAAAGTCAGACCCCTTCCTTGTGTTCTATAGGAGCAATGAGGATGGCACGTGAGTTAATGTCTTCTCCAGTGGCACCCACCCCTGCCCTGCTGTGACCATGGGCCCATTAGGGCTCTCAGGCTGGATGTGGGCATCTTAAACTCTACCAGGACCTGACCTCAGAATTCACTCAAGGCAGCACACAATATGTGCTTAACAAGTGGGGAAATCCCAGGAATCTCCAATAGTATGAGGCCCTATCTCTGGGCTCAGTCCTGCCCCAAGGCAGGTTCCAGTCCTCTTGCTCCTCTCCAGGTTCACCATCTGCCACAAGACGGAGGTTGTGAAAAACACACTGAATCCTGTGTGGCAACCCTTCAGCATCCCTGTGCGGGCATTGTGCAATGGAGACTATGACAGGTCTGCTTCAGTGTAATCTAGGGAGTAAGGGAACAAGGGCATGAGAATGGGATTCCTGAGCCCCAGACAATAGTTTTGGAGGATCCTGCCTGGTGAAACAGTTTTGGGCATGGAGATAGGTAGATGGGGAAGCAAATGGATGGCCACATAGATGAATAGGAGGATGGAAGGGTAGATGGGTAGATGAAAGGGCAAATGAACAAATGAATAAACAGATACATGGGTGGAGGGTCAGATGGATGGATAAGCTGGTGAATGAATGGATGGGTATATGTATGGATGTGTAAAAGGACTGGTGGGTAGAAGGGGAGATGGATGAATGGGTAACAGATAAGTGGATAAGTGGACTGATGGGCAGATCAGCAGATGGACAAATGATGGATAGATTAATGGATGAACAAATAGATGGATGGGTATATGAGAGATTGTTAGGTGGCTGGAGAGGCAGAGGGATGACTGAAAAAGCAGGAGGATAAATAGGTAGAGCAAAAGGTGGATTGGTGAATGGATGGTAGATGGATGGAAGGACCAGTAGATTAATTAGTTGATTAATGAGTGTAAAGTAGATGGATAGGCTGACCATATGAACTAATAAATGGACAGTATGAAGATAGGTAAGTGGGTGGAAGGATGGATGGGCACATACATGGTTGGTTATGTAGGTGAATGGATGATCATATGGACAAATGTGATAGATGGGTGTTTGGTTAGATAGCTGAATGGGGCGCCTGGGTGGCTCAGTTGGTTAAGCGACTGCCTTCGGCTCAGGTCATGATCCTGGAGTCCCTGGATCGAGTCCCGCATCGGGCTCCCTGCTCGGCAGGGAGTCTGCTTCTGCCTCTGACCCTCCCCCCTCTCATGTGCTCTCTCTCTCTCATTCGCTCTGTCTCAAATAAATAAATAAATAAATAAATCTTTAAAAAAAAAATAGCTGAATGGACAGAGAGATGGATGCTTGCATACATCAGTAAGTCAGTGTATGCCTGGATGTATAATTAGATGGGTGGATAAAGATAGGTATTAAAAAGTAATTAGATTGGCTAATGTATGGGTAAGTGGGTGGCTACGTGGATAGATAGTTGTAACTGCAACACAGATATATGGACATATAGGAGGACTTAGGCATAGTACTTAAGAACAAAGTCTTTGGAGCCAGGATGTCTGAGTTTTTTTTTTTTTAAGATTTTATTTATTTATTTGAGAGAGAGAATGAGATAGAGAGAGCATGAGAGGGGGGAGGGTCAGAGGGAGAAGCAGACTCCCCGCTGAGCAGGGAGCCCGATGCGGGACTTGATCCCGGGACTCCAGGATCATGACCTGAGCCGAAGGCAGTCGCTTAACCAGCTGAGCCACCCAGGCACCCCAGGATGTCTGAGTTTAAATCTCAGCTCAATCACTTACTAGTTATAGTCCTTAGTCAAGTTACTGTTTTTTTTGCACCTCAGTTTCCTTATCCAAAAATAAGAATAATAGTATTTACCTTATAGTAAGTGCTTACTTTTTAGGATGGTTGTTAAATCAAATGAGTCAATCCACAAAAGCACTGGTAACAATGCCTAGAATATAGTAAGACTCAACAAGTAGTAGTAAAGAATAGTAATAGTGGTACAAATAGCAGTGGAAGAAATAATGGCAGTGGCAATAGATAGTTGGGTATGTGCATGGACTGATGAATGAATAAATAGGTTGGATGCACTGATGGGAGGAAGGTTGAAGGAAAAACAGATGCGTGTATGGGAGGATGATTTGTGAATGGTTAAGTAGGTGAGGGTGTCTCTAGGATTTATCATACATGCTAGCCTATGTTTATCTCCTGCATTTCAGAACAGTGAAGATTGATGTGTACGACTGGGACCGGGATGGAAGGTAGAACTGCCCCACATAGTACTGTCTTCTTTTGTAGTTAATTTAAACAGCTTCCTATAATATGTAGTACATTCACTAGGAAACCAAAGTGGTCTTGGGAGTCAAGAAGGGTGATAATAGATGCCAGGACCTTGAGTACAACTGACCCTCTCAGTTGGATCTTCCTTCTCTCCCCCTTAACTTGGCCTCTCTTCTGGCCCCAACCCCAGTGCCCTGCAGCCCAAGTAGAGGCAAGGGATAATGGGGGCAAAAGACTAGTTTCAGGGCTGGTTCCAAGCCAACAGTAGCTGCTGCTCACCCACCCCGGCCTCACTGCAGCCATGACTTCATCGGTGAGTTCACCACCAGCTACCGGGAGCTGAGCAAGGCCCAGAACCAGTTCACAGTGTATGAGGTGAGAACTCCAGCTCTGTCCAGGTTGCCCAGGCCCTCCATCCCAGTGTGCTCAGTCTGTAGCTCCCTTCCTCTGTTTCCCACCATCACTGTTATCTTCTTCACTTAGGTACTTAACCCTCGGAAGAAATGTAAGAAGAAGAAATATGTCAATTCAGGAACTGTGAGTGTTCCCTGGAGCTCTGGCCCTCCCTAGATCCTTCTGTTTCTATTCCCACTGACATAGTATGATGAATGTTGGGGGAAGGCTGTGGGCACAGATTACTTGGATATAGTAACGTTGGGCCCAAGGTGGCTCCATTTAAGTTTTTTTTGTTTTCTTTTGATTTCTCACCTGAGGAAAATGGTTTGCTCATTACTGTTTTGCAGATTTTTTTTAAACTTAAGTTGTATTTCCCAATTTAATACACTTTTGAAAATCCAAATATGTTTCTGACAGCTTCCTCTTTTTTGCCCTTTCAGAAATTAGACAGGGTTGGGGAGTGTGCAGTAGGGGGTGGAATCATGTGCCTCTCTGCCTTCTGCCACCCAACTGCCCTTTCCAAAGTAGCAGGGCTGTCTCTTTGCCCCACAGGTGACGCTGCTCTCCTTTTCTGTGGACTCTGAATTCACTTTTGTTGATTACATCAAGGGAGGGTGAGTCACAGGCCAGGTTCTGGGCTGAAAGACCAGCATTGAGTTACTCCCAGTTCTAAGCCTCAGTTTTCATATTTATGAATGGTTAGGGTCCATGGAGATAAACTTTTAAACACTTGGCAAACTATAAAGTGCTCTGTAAAATGCATAATGTTGCCCATCTTAGTTTTCTTCATGAAGCTGACTTTCATCCCTAGCTTCCAGTCCTCCCATGGGAAGATGCGAGACAGGTGGTCTTCAAAGATGGCCCCAGTAACCTGACTGGGGTCCAAATAAAAATCATGGCCAGGCAACAGGAAGAGACCAAGAGAGAGGGAAAACCCAAGCAGACCAAAGAGGACATTCCTTTTGGCTCAGTAGTGGTAGGCAGACGTGGGTAAAGTACTTTGCTTCTCTGAAGCTCACTTTTCTCCTATGCAAAATGGAAATGTTAATTACTACTTCAGGGCTATAGTAAAGATTAAGTTAAATGACATAAATTACATACACTTGTCACACAGTAGGCATTTAATTCTGCTACCCAGAGTGTGCTCCATGGACCAGCAGCATTGGCATCATCTGGGAGTTTGTTAGAAATGTAGAATTTCAGGCTCCACACAGATCATCCAGACCAGAATCTGCATTTTAACACTATCTCCAGGTGATTCGTATGCACACTAGTGTTTGAGAAATCCTGATATAGTAAGTATGTCCCTCACTTCTCAATTGATCTACTTCCCCAACAGGACACAGCTGAACTTCACAGTAGCCATTGACTTCACAGCTTCTAATGGTGAGGCATGGATGGGGGAATGGGGTATGGAGGAATTCTAAGGAATTCATTAGGGATTGGCCTGGATTCTGACCTGGGGATAAGAGTTCACCTACCGAGGGGTGCCTGGGTGGCTCAGTCAGTTAAGAGTTCACCTACCCAGTAAGCCCAGGCTTGAGGCAAAGCCCAGCCAGGCTGGTACTGGGACAGGAGTTTTGGGAGGAGATTATTGGGTATAATGGGGGACAGAGGGTAAAAGAAAAAAGGTGTGTCAATTTTAAAAAGTTGAAAGGAGAGATATCTCAAGAAGTGGATGAGTAAATGAATGGATGGGAGATAATAGGAGTGTAAGGAGAAATGAAGCAGTAAATGTGAGTGAGTAATGACTGGGTAGGTAAATAGATGAATAAACCAAGTAGGTAGTTGGGTTAGTGAGTGAGTACAATAGGTTGGACAAGTGGATGCATGAATAGGCATGCAGGTGGACAAATGGACAGATGTTTAAATTGGAGAAATAACAGGTAAGTAGACAGGATAATGAATGAGAGTGGATAGGTGGATGAATCCATATGAAGACAGAATGAATGGAAATGAATAGGAATGATGGGTGGGTGGTAGCTGGGTAGATACTGGATAAGAGAATGGAGAGGAAGATGGCTAGAAATGGATGGGTAGATTGAAAGATGGATTTATGTCCAGTGGATGGAAGAATGGATATGTGGGTAAGTGGATAAATTGTTTGATAAATATAGGGGTTGGTGGATGGATAGACGGATAAATGAACATATGGACGACTGGGCAAAATAATGAGGGAGTACATGGGTAAAGAGTGGGTGAATGTATAGGCGGTTGGATGTATACATGGATGGACAGGTGAATAGATAAATGATCAAGGTGACCATGAAGCTGGGGGTCCTGTGTCCCTACAGGGAATCCTCTGCAGCCCACCTCCCTGCACTACATGAGTCCCTACCAACTCAGCGCCTATGCCATGGCCCTCAAGGCAGTGGGAGAAATCATCCAGGACTATGACAGTGACAAGCTCTTCCCAGCCTATGGCTTTGGGGCCAAACTGCCTCCAGAGGGACGGATCTCCCACCAGTTCCCCCTGGTATAGTATAGGCCGGAGCCTACGCTCCATGCCCTGGCATCTGGTCCACTCAAGTTGGTGAATTTCTTCTCAGGATCAAGTACCTGCAGAGGACCGGGAAACTATGAGAGGGGAGCAGAGCAGGGAGGGGAGCAGGGCTGGAGTTTGGAGGGGAGCATGAGAGAGAGAGAGATGGAAAAAAGAAGGAGTGAGCTGGGATCAGAGTACTCCTGGGTATACGCAGCATGGTTCAGCCTAGCAAGGCATCTTTCCTGACAGAACAACAATGATGAGGATCCCAACTGTGCGGGCATTGAAGGTGTGTTGGAGAGCTACTTTCAGAGCCTGCGCACAGTGCAGCTCTATGGGCCCACCTACTTTGCTCCTGTCATCAACCAGGTTGCCAGGTAAGGGAACTGGGTGGGGGCTGGGAGGACTGAGGGGACCCAGACAGGGGACTGACTTCCCAAGGATAGTCAAGACCACTCTTGGGTGAACCTGGGCTTTGGCGAAAGGGTAAAATTTTCAGTGTTGGCCAGGCTCTGATATAAAGAGATAAATGCCTTATTCTGGGGTAGAGAGGGTGTGAACAAACTACCCCAACCCCACTCTTTGGGAACAACAATTCAGGCCTCAAGTTTGGGGAAAAGAGAGATGGTCCTATAACACAATAATTAAGGCACAAGCTTTGGCATCAGACCTGGCTACACCCCTCACCAACCATGTGACCTTAAGCAACTCAGCCTAAGTCCCCATTTTATCCCTACAAATGGGTATAAGGATAACAATAGCACTTCTTTATAGGGTTATTGGGAGGTTAAAATTAGATAACAAATTAAGAATTATTAGCAGTGTCTGGCCCTTAGTAAGTGCTCAATACATGGTAGATTAAAAAATAGGAAAGTAACTTCTAAAAATAAAAGAGTAATTCCAGGGGCATCTGGATGGCTCAGTCAGAAGAGTCTGTGACTCTTGATTTCAGAGTTGTGAGTTGTTTTGTTTTTTGTTTTTTTTTTTTTAAGATTTTATTTATTTGACAGAGAGAGACAGAGCGAGAGAGGGAACACAAGCAGGGGGAGTGGGAGAGGGAGAAGCAGGCTTCCCACTGAGCAGGGAGCCAGATGCGGGGCTCGATCCCAGGACCCTGAGATCATGACCTGAGCCAAAGGCAGCCCCTTAACCGACTGAGCCACCCAGGCGCCCCTCAGAGTTGTGAGTTTGAGCTCCACGTTGGATGTAGAGATTACTTAAATGAATAAACAAATAAACACTTAAAAAAAATAACTCCAAATTTTCAGAATAAAAAAAAAAACAAGATCACATATCAAATCACTTTTTAAAAGGCAAATAAAATAAAATGACAGAACTAAAACCAAACATATGTCACTAAACATAAATTGGATAAGTTCACCTATTAAAAGAAAAAGAGGGCGCCTGGGTGGCTCAGTTGGTTAAGCGACTGCCTTCGGCTCAGGTCATGATCCCGGAGTCCTGGGATCGAGTCCCACATCGGGCTCCTGGCTCAGCAGGGAGCCTGCTTCTCCCTCTGACCCTATCCCCTCTCATGCTGTTTCTCTCTCTCTCTCTCTGTCTCTCTCAAATAAATAAATAAATAAAATCTTAAAAAAAAATCATTAAAAAAAAAAAGAAAAAGATTCTCTGATTGAATAAAGCAATAAAATAATAAGTAAATCCTACAATATGCTGAATAGAAGAGACCTAGCTAAAAAAAGTACCTCAGAAAGCTTGAAAGTAAAAAGATTAAGCAAAAAAAGAGAATACAAATGGAAGGATTTCAGGGAGGTTTATATGCCTATAGACTTCCCTTTTCCCTGATAAAGATTGTTTATGTAATTCATAATGAATATAATAGTTTCTTTCAATTATGAAAGTAACATAACATTGCTGTAAAAAATTTCAAGGATGGAGAAATAAAATAAGAGATCACCCAGAATACTGCCCATGGGAATATGGATGCATATACAGTTCTTGACAGTTTTTTCCTTATGAATCCATAATTGCAGTCAAATTACATGCAGGGGGGCCTGGCTGGCTCAGTCAGAAGAGCATGCGACTCTTGGCCTCGGGATTGTGAGTTCGAGCCCCACACTGGGTGTAGAGATTACTAAAAAATAAATAAACTTAAAAAAATACATGTAATAGTTCACTACTGATTTTTTCACTTAGTATTGGAGACTGAGCATATTTTTGTTGTTATTAAACAGATTTCTTAATTTTATCTTAGTTCATTCATTCATTCATTGAATAAACATTCAATAAAGAGGCAATGTAGCATGAATGTGGGCTGTGGGGCCAGACTAACTAAGTCGATACACCCACTCTACCACTCCCTAGCTGTGTGAATTTGAGCAAGACCCTGAACCTTTCTATGCCTGTTTCCTCAATTGTAAAATGATAATAATAATAGTAATATCATAGGGTTTTTGTGAAGGTTAACTAAATTAATATATGTCAAGCTCTTAGTGCCTGCCACATCATAACTGCTATAAGTGTCAGCTATTACTGTTACTATTATTATCATTATTACTATTCAAAGGGCATCTGCTGTATGCTCAGTTCTCTGCTGGGGCACTGGAGACTCACAGATGAATCACATCTAGTCTCTGCCCTTGGGAGCTCCTGCCTTGGTGCAGGAGACAGAAATATAAATAAATCATTACTTTCCATAGGCCAGAGCTTCCCAGACTTTCCCAGCAAGTTGCCTGTTGGCAAAGGCAAGTGATTGCTTCCCCCAGGGGAATCTTAGGGGCACAGCTGAAAGCAACCAGGCTGAAAATGTCTTTGAAGTCACCATATTTATCTTAAAAATTCATGCAAATTTTACATCCTCCTCATGTTGTATCCATGTTTGCTTTAATTTGGAGGAGAAAAAAAGTGTTTTAAGTATACTTAGAGTCATCTAGCTTTATCCACCAGATCATACAGTAGAATGGATGCTCCAGGTATCCTGTGACCTTGGGTCTCCCTGGGCACACATGCTGGTACCCTCATGGGTGTGAAAACCCATGTGGAAGGGCTGACAGCCCAAATTGGTGGGTGGTATCCTAGAAGGCAGAGGGAGAGGAGGGAGGGTATAACCTAGTCTGAAAGACCCAAGGGAGCCTAACTTGTGGAGGGGAATTCTTAGCTGGGTCTAGAGGGCAAGTTGGACTTTATCAGAAAAAGAGATGCAGAGTAGGCCTGGCAGAAGGAACAGCATGTGAAAAAACAGTCATAAAGAGGCAAGCTCAGGAAACAGTAAACAGTAATATTATGACCAGAATGTACCACATATATGGAGGAGTATCTAAAGAACAGGCCAGGAATGGAGAGTGAAGGAATCAAGAGCTCAGGCTTTAGGCTTAGTTGGGCTCTTTTACTGAGCATTTGAAATGTAGCTTGGGTGAACAAGAAACCAAATATTTACTTCTATTTAACTTAATTAATTTAAATTTCAGTAGTCACATGTGGCCAGGGTCTGCCTTACTGGGTAGTGCAACTCCATCCTTTCCAACCTACTCAGTGCCTAAGACTGGGAGTCAAGAGACCAGGATGTACCATGACCTTTGTGCCCTCTGAAGGTCTCATGTTTCTTATATGTAAAATAAGGGGACTGGACCCAATGGCTTCTGAAGTCCTTTTCAGATAGAAAAATCTTGGATTCAAAGATTGATGGTGAGAGAAGGGAAAGGAGCTTGGGAGCAGCTGTTAGACTGGCTAAGGACCCAGCAGCATAGGCAGTGGGAGGTGGTCAGCAGAGGGGAGAAGGAAGAAAGAAGAAATGGGTGAGAAAGGGAAGAAAGGAGGCCTTTAGCCTTTGGTCTTGCCCTTGTATAAAAACCAAAATCTTCCTAGGGGCTGTCAAAGCCCTGTGTGATCTGGCCCCTACCCCACCTCAGCCACATGGCCCACTTTGCTTCCCTCACTTTCTGGGCTCCAGACACAGTGGGCCTCCTTCAGTCCCATCACAAAGCCCTTATCTGTGCTGTTCCCTTTGTTCCTCCCCCTTGCTTAGCCTCTCCTTCATCCTTAAACATTGTTTCCTTAAATAAGCCTTCACTGACCTGCTGGACCATGTCAGGATCCCCTACTAGACACTGTCATAGCGGTGTCCCTTTCCATCACAGTACTCATCACAAGAGTAATTATACCTATTTCTGTGATTCTGGGATTAATGTCCTCCCTCGAGATGGCTGGGATGAATTTGTTTTTTCTCATTGTGTACCTCCAGTGCCTACCATAACACAGTAACTACCAAAGTAAGTTCTCCATAAATGTTACTGGAGGGATATCAGGCAGGGGCAGGCATCCAGGTTTAGGGAAGGAGCATGAGCTTCAGAAACCCCAATCCTTGCCCATTGCTTATACAGTGGTGGTGGAAGCTTTAGGGGTAGGGTGTTCCCTTGGACTCTGGACTTTCAGCTGGATTCTGATCTTGGACTCTCAACCAGGGCTGCAGCCAAAATCTCTGATGGTTCCCAATACTACGTTCTGCTCATCATCACTGATGGGGTAATCTCTGACATGATGCAGACCAAGGAGGCCATTGTCAGTGTGAGTTTAAGGAGGAGGGCTTGGCAGGGAGGGGCACTGTTAATAACTGTGAAGGGTTTGAGGTTTTACCCTACTTGCAAGCTAACAAATTAGCCCTCCAGTTTCATGGATGCTGGCAGAAGACACAAGACTCCTGATTGGAGACAAAGGACTTTGTTATTCTCAGCCATAGTAGTAGCTCAATTATCAGCATTTGCTTTGATTCTAAGTCCCAGTTCCCACAAGATGTTGTGAGGAGGGTCAAATGACACCTGCAGTCACAGTGGGATGCACTGTAGGTCAGAAACCCTGAGCTTAGGGTATCTGAATCTTTTATAATGGGCAGTAAGCATGCCTGCCCTTTGTTCTGGTGTGAGATACTTTATTAAACTGAATAGTAAACAAACCTGCCCTTTGCTCCAAAGGAACACACTTTATCTTTCAAGGCTGTTTGATATGCAGATGTCCTTGAAAAGATAGTCTGAAACAAAGAGAATCAGTGCCTCTGCTTGCAAGATGTACAGAAACATGATACATGCACAGAGAATTGTCCCCAGTAGTCACCTCCATTGTTATGATTGCTCACCCCAACCATTCAACCTCTTTCCCTCACAGGCCTCCTCACTGCCCATGTCTATCATTATTGTCGGTGTGGGACCAGCCATGTTTGAAGGTGAGTAGGATCATGGGTGTCCAAGAATGAGACCAAAAACTGGGGAAAATAGGGGAGGATCTGGGCACCCAGGCCTGTCTAACATAAAAGATAAGATGGATGCCTGTGCTGGACCTTGGCCAAGTCACAGACCTTCTCTGAACCTATTTCTTTATCATAACCAAGGCTGTTGATATGAATACTTCCTTCTTGGGGTTCCTTGGTGGATGGAATGCATAATAACAACTCCATAACAGTGCCTAAAATTTGTTAGGACTTGAATACAACCACTAAATATTCTCATGATGACTCCGAAGTGGAGCTAACAAGGAGGGGGGTAGCATGGGTTTGGTGTGGGAGAGGGCAATCAGCTGAAGAGTGTCTTCTCTGCAGCAATGGAAGAGCTGGATGGTGATGACGTGCGCGTGTCCTCTAGGGGACGCTATGCAGAACGGGACATCGTTCAGGTAGATCTAACCAGGGAGAAGTCATGGAGCCAAAAGGCACAGTGGGAAAGACAGGCTAAGTTGGCAGCCACTCTCCCATACTGTCTTCTTAATCATCTACCTTTCTCCCCATTACTCTTCCAGCTGTCCTGCATTCATTGAACAAATTCTTTTTGAGAAACAGGCAGGTTGCTGCAGCCATTCTGGATCCATAGTATAGAAGATCCCCAAAGCCCCCACCCTCTAGTGGAGGCAACCAATAATAATCACACAGCTAAATCTCTATTAGATTGTGACAAGTGCTCCAGAGGAACAGCAAATGCCACTATATATATATGTAGGTCCTATAACAGGGACCTGATTTAGCAGGGTAGTCAGGGAAGGCTTCTATAAGGAAATGACATTTGAGCTAAAACCTAAAGGAGGGTTGCTCTACCTAAACATTGCAGGTAGAGAAGCAGCACATGCAAAGGCCCTGAGGCTCAGAAGAATAAGCCCAAACATGGAAAAGGCGAGAGGCCAGGGGCAGGATCCCAGGAAATGCGAAGAAGAGGGAACCAAGGCCTTGTTGGTTATGATGAAGATTTGGAGTTTTGTTCTAAAGGATTAGAAATCTCTTGAAGGATTTTACATAGGGGACTGAGGTGGTCAGACTTGCATTTTCAGAGGAGCTCTGCTGCATGGAGGGTTGACAGCAGCAGGTTGAGAGAGATGGCAAGTAGACAGACCTGTCAGTGAAGAAGCCTTTGAAGTAGCAGAGGAGAGATGACTGGGATCTGGACAGGAATGGAAGCAATGAGGATGGAGAGAAGAAGCAGGTTCAAAAGATTATTTAAGAAAATTTTACAAGAGTTGATGCTTTGATTAAATGGTGATGAGGAGTGAGGACGGCTTTAAGGATGACTCTCAGTTTTCTAGCTTGAGCAACTGAATGAGTGATAGTCCCATTTATTGGGAAGGGGAAGCCTGGGGGAGGAACAGATTTGGAAGAAAGGGCCAGAACTCAGTTGTGAACACACTGGGTTTGAGATATCTAAGACAAATGAATGGAGATGTGATATGGGCAACTAAATATGTGGCTCTGGACCTTAAACAAGAGGCCAGGGATGGATGTATAAATTTGGGAGTCATCAGAGTACAGTTTTTAAAGTCATGTAAGTATATGAAATCACCCAGGAAGAGAACTGAGAGAGAGAAGTGACCAGGTTTAGGATCAGGTAGATCCCAGAGGAATGGGGGTGACAGGGAGGAGCATCCAGGAAGAACGAGAAAATCCAGAAGAGTGTGGTATGTCAAGAGTGGGATGTGTCTAGTAGGAAGAGTATGGTCAAATGTAATGAAAAGCTAAAGAGAAGTCAAGCAAGATGAAGACTGACAATTATTGCCCACTGGACTGATTTGGTAACATAAGGGCTATTACACTGGCAAGAGCAGTGTCAGTACTGAGTGAAGCCAAACTGGAGTGGGTTGAAGGTGAATAGAAGGTGAAAAAAAGGGGGTGGGGAGAAAGTAAATGTGGAAAGCTGTCCAAAATGGGTGGGGGGAAGAGATAGTGTGATATTTGGAAAGAGATGTTAGGAGTCAAAGAGGAAACCTCCTTACTGCTCCCCTTCCCATTCCTCTCTTCCCCGGCCATTACCCACACCTGGTTGTCTGTGCCTGTCCCAGTTCGTCCCATTCCGAGACTATGTTGACCGGTCAGGAAACCAGGTGCTGAGTATGGCCCGACTAGCCAAGGACGTGCTGGCTGAGATCCCAGAGCAGCTGCTGTCCTACATGCGCACCAGGGATATCCAACCTCGCCCCCCACCTCCTGCCAACTCCAGACCAACTCCTGCTCCAGAACAGCCCTGAGGAGCCTACCTATTCCGTAACTAGCAGCCTGCTTGCCTGCCCACCCACTGCTTCTGCTGAAAGCCAGAGGCACCTGGAGCCCTGGACCTTACTGAGTCCAGCTTAGAGGATCAGTGCTGGCTGGTCGAGCCCTCTGTCCCCTCACCCATAGAAGGGCCTGGCACTGTCACCACCTCCCTGCCTTCATGCCTATAATAAAGCTGATCTTTACTCCACCTCTGTCTCATGGTTCTTGGGGAAGGAGAGTGGGGGACCTGGGAGCCTGGGGCCACACCAATAGAAGTGAGCAAAAAAAGCTTCAGTTAGGGTTCATCCCCATCCTATCACCCATCCATCCAATCACATCTTCAGACATTCTTCAAACACTTTAAGAAATGATAAGTGAAACTTTGTGTGCATGTTTTTTTCTGAAGAGAGGCCCATAGCTTTCATCAGGTTCTCAAAGGGATTCCTGACCTCAAAAGGGGTCAGCTTTCCAATGACTGTCTAATTCTGCTCTGATCCATTTATCCTGAATCTTTTAATGAGGATAATAAAAACAGCTATATACTTGAGTATTCATTACATATGGAGGCGATTTACAAGCATATTCTTATTTAATCCTCACAACAATCCTGTGAGGTGAGCACTATATCTTATCTCCACTTTATACATCAGGAAACTGAGGCTCAGAAAGGTTAAGTCGCCTTTTGAAGAGAACTCATCAGTTTGACTCCAGATCCCAAGATCTTAACCAGCAAACATCTTTCTGGAGTGTTGCTTTTATTAGGATGTTTTACAGAAAACATTATTTATGAAAATATATACATTATAGTGGGTCGAATGCAAGGTTTGCATATTAAGATATAATAGAAGCTTCCATTTACTCCGAGCTTTGCCTCAGAACCCTGGAAGACCCTTTCACGCTCTTCTTTGGATGGCAAAACTGAAGAGGCTCAGCAACAAGCATTGCCTAACAAGTGGACCCTTCCCAGCACCCAAGAACTGACCAAACCCCCAAGAACTGACAATAGTTTTTGAGCCCTCTTTTATAAATGCGGAATTTAAGGTAGGAAGAATTTAACAACTTGCTACTTGTTCACATAGCTACTAAGTGGCCCAGTCACATTAAAAACAATTGTCTGTTTTGACAGTCTTCCAACCTTCCACCCATAGCCATGATGCATTTCCCCGCCAACCCTAAAGGGTTCCCAGCATCTGAATCCCATTTTACCATGCACAAGTCTTTTCACCAGCCTTTTACACCTCCCCAAATTCGGCCCCTTCCTTCAGATCCACACCTTTCCTCCAGTCCGCTCCTTTGCCTTTCCCAAGCTCCTTCCCTTTCCTCCAGCCACTCCCGTTACCCTTAACCTGGTCCCGCCCTTTCCTTCCAGCCCCGCCCCTTTACCTTTTCCACGCCCCGCCCTTTCACTTCAGTCTCGCGTCGTTATTCCCAGCTCTGTCCTTTCTCCCCAGCCCAACGCCTTCCAGGCCCATCTAAAACCCCTCCCTTTCTTTCCCGAGGCCCACTCTTCTGTTTAGCCCCACCCTTTTACCCCTGTTCAGCCCCTATTCTCCTTACTGAGGCCCGCTTTACAGATGTCCCCGCCCATTCTCCGCAAACTCCGCCCCATGGACTGGTTTATTCTCCGCCAGACCCGCCCCACCCCTACCCATAACTCCGAGCCCTTCCTCAGGCTCCAGCCTGCGTCCCTCTTGCTCCCGGACCTGCCCCCAGCCCCGCCCCATGGCTCCAGCCCCGCCTCGCCGCCTTTCTCGGAGACCAAGGCCAGGTCCCTACTGCAGCCGAGGCGCCAGCAGGAGGGAGGGAGGAGGCAGAGGGGGAAGGGAGAAGGGCGGGCTCCTCAAGCCCAGCCCCGCGCTCACCGTCCGTGTCCGCAGATTCGCCACAAACGGCCCGACTACTCCGGATCCCGAATATTGCGTCTTCAGTCTACAGAAACTCAACTCTAAGATGGAGGTGCTAGAGAAGCCATGTGGGGCGTCCAGGGACCCTTTTGAGTCTCAGAGAATGGCCTCTCGAGACTCAGCAGGCGGGCGGGGATCTGTGGCGAAAGTGCAGCTCGACAGCGCCGAGGCGCCGAGTTTACCCTGCGCAGACGCCGTCGCCGCCGCTGCTGCCGCCGCCGCTGCCACTGCCTTTGCCGCCACGGTCTCCGCCACCACTGTCCCCGCGCTGCCTCCGGGAGCCTCCATTGTTCCGGCGGTGTCGGGTCCCGAGGCCGGACAACCTAGGGGTTTTCGAAACGGGCGGCGGCCGACGGAGTTGAGACACCAGGGCGCCGGCGGGACCGGGAGCGGCAGGGGTCAGCGCGGGAATCCCGGGGAGCCGGGGCCAGAGCGTGGGGCGGCAGGGGACCGGGGTGGCGAGATCTGCGGTCTCCGGAGTTGGGGCTCTCTCTCCCCGGCCCGTCTTTCCCCGCCGGCCTCCCCAAGTGGGGTCGGAGCCCCGGCGGGCGCCCCCGGCGATGAGCCCGGACTCGAGGTGGCCGGTGAGTGCGGGCCTGGGACCGGGGCGGGAGTGGCCAGCGGGGAAGGACTAGACTACTTTCGTGGGGCGTGCGCTGAGCTGTCTGGCCCGGCTGCCCCTTGGGCTACTCCAGCCGGGAGAACTGACAGTGCATTACCTCCCAGCCCGCGTCCCAGGGCAACAGAGTATCCTCCAGGGCTGCCTGGGCCAATGGCAGGAGGGGAGCCTTGTTTAACATGTTACACTTCGACAAAAGGGAAACGTCGCCGCATCCGGGAGAGGGCTGCGGGCACCGCCTGGGCCCGGTCTGATCGCTCCGGCCCCCGCCCCCTACTTCCTCCAGCCCCCTGAGCTCTGCCGCCATACCCCTGTGGGCCCTGTGCCTTCCTCACGGGCTTCCAGTCTGAGTTCTTGTCTCCACCGCGTGTGCCTCTGCCGCCCAGTCCCAGCGGGACATCTGCCCGGGCTCTGTGCTACTTTGGGAGCCAGGGCGACAGAGCCGCAGCGTACACCAGGGACCCATCATTGAAAAAGAAGAGCTTGCGTGTTCCTCTGATTGGTTTGTGTTTAAAGACACAGCTGCAGGTAGGAAGTAAAAGTTGAAGTAGTTTTACCAACGTAGAAGTCAGGGGCTTTGACAGAGAGGCTGGAGCAGCCCACTTGGCTTAGCTAAGTAGCTGGAGAGAGGCCAAGAGGGGTCACTGTTTGGCTTTGCCTGGAATGGTGCCAACACCCTAGCTGAATTGTTGAACTCAACTAGGCCTGGAGAAATTGGGGCAGTCTCTGACCAAGCTGGGCTTCCTGGGGGCTGGTGCCATCTGCTGTCACTACTCACCTAGGAACACTGGCGAGGAGGAAGGGAAGGCCCTGAGGACCATCATGGACCTGAGTGTGCCTAGATTGTCATGTTCCTGTTTGTACCCTTAGTACCTGGTATCACTCCCAGGGCCAGAGTCTGGTACCACTCCCAGGGCCAGGGCCAGGGCATAGGCTTCCCCTAAAGACCTCAGAAATGAACTGCTTTTTTCTGTAATGCAATGATTTCTGCTGGTGCCCAGGATTAAATCATTGGCCACCCATCCAAGCAAGCTTCTATATGGGTTAACACTAGCCTTCATCCATCTGTCAGCTTCAAATCTGGTGATCCCTTCATTTAGCTATTCATTCAACAAGTTCTTCATTCATTTGCCAAAAACTGAGTATCCACTACATGCCAGGTACTGGGGATATATAGAGGTGGGTAGGCTCTGATGTCTGCACTGCATAGCACCGTCTAGTGGGAGGAGACAACTTCCAGTATGGTAAGTGCCATGCCACCATGATGGAATGATGAGAATGGAATGCTGTAGAAACATAGCTCCCCATGGGAAAGACAAATCATAACAAGAAGTGACATTTGAGTTGGGTTTTGAAGAATGAGTAGGAGCTCACCAATCAGGTGGAAGCCATTTCAAACAGAGATCATCCTGCAGGAATGAGAGGTTATAACATTCAGGAATGGCAGGTTGCCCTGGGTAGACAGAAGCACAGCTGTAACTAGTGAGAAGAGTCTGGAAAGGAGGACTAGGGCCAGACAATGAAAGGAGTACCTTGAATGTCATCATAGGAAATTTGGATATTATCCTGAAATAAGTGGGGAGCATCAGGAAGCTTTTAATCCAAAGATTGACATGATTGTTGCTACTCTTGTCACATTATGTGAGATTAGGCTAGAAGAGTTGAGATATAGGGCAGGATGACTAGGCAGGAGGTGATGAGGCCCAGACTGTGGCCATGTGTGGAGGTGATGGCATTTGGAGTCACTATAGAGGTGGGCTGGCCAGGACCGTTGGGGAGAAGGAGGGCTGGAGAGAGTAGAGTGGATGGCCAAGAGCTTGTCCCCAGGCCTATGCTAACTAATCTGTACATTCTAGATGTGACAGCATGGGGGTGGACTTTGACGTGAAGACTTTCTGCCACAACTTGCGGGCAACTAAGCCACCGTATGAGTGCCCCGTGGAGACCTGCCGCAAGGTCTACAAGAGTTACAGTGGTATCGAGTACCACCTATATCACTATGACCACGACAACCCACCGCCCCCGCAGCAGACTCCACTCCGCAAGCATAAGAAGAAGGGGCGCCAATCACGCCCAGCCAACAAGCAGTCGCCCAGCCCCTCGGAGGTATCCCAGTCACCCGGCCGTGAGGTGATGAGCTACGCACAGGCCCAGCGCATGGTGGAGGTGGACCTGCATGGCCGTGTCCACCGCATCAGCATTTTTGACAACCTGGATGTGGTGTCAGAGGATGAGGAGGCCCCTGAGGAGGCTCCTGAAAATGGCAGCAACAAGGAGAACACTGAGACACCAGCTGCTACTCCCAAGTCAGGCAAGCATAAGAACAAGGAGAAGCGCAAAGACTCCAACCATCACCACCACCATAACGCTTCTGTGAGCACCACTCCCAAGCTGCCAGAGGTGGTATACCGGGAGTTGGAGCAGGACACCCCTGATGCCCCGCCCCGGCCAACGTCCTATTACCGGTAAGGCCACCTCTACCTCCCAACTCTGGAAAACTGGTCAAGCAGGGCTCAGGAGCTGGAGAAGTAACAGGCAGCAGAGGGGAGAGTGGCAGAGATAAAGGGTAGCAGAAGCACACTGGTCCTGCCAGGGCAGTGAG